ATTAAATAATGTCTAATATTATAATTATTCAGAGCTATCTACGACAGATAAGATATTAACTGAACCACTTCCAATCCAAAAGACCTGAACTGTTGCTTTAAGGATGATGAACGACCATTGGACCCTGAGACGGAGCTGATAAACACCTGTTCAGTTTCAGGGGTGTAAAATAAAAAAAGAAAAGAACACAGAGAGGAAAAAATCTGATGACAGAGGTTAGTGGGAGGAGAAACAAGGGGTCTTATAAATCATTATACATATCTGAAGAGGCAGACACATCTCACAGAGCTGCTGCACACTCCCCTCAACAGATGGTCCGACTTTCATGACCAGCTTTCCCACATCTGGTTTGAAAACAAAACAAAACAAACAAACAAAAAAAAAAACAAAGCAAAAAAACTTAAAACTGGATTAAATTTTTCTGTTCTGACCGGCGGGCCAAGGAGGCGGGTGTGAGTCATGGATCCAGTTGTGGAAGTAGTGGCTTTGGTTTTGGGTTTCGTTGGGTGGGTGATGGTCGGGGTGGCGYTGCCAAACCGTTACTGGAAGACCTCCACGGTGGACGGGAACGTCATCACCACCTCCACCATCTACGAGAACCTGTGGATGTCCTGCGCCACCGACTCCACCGGGGTCCACAACTGCAGGGAGTTTCCTTCGCTGCTGGCTTTGAATGGTACGAATATGTTTGTTTTTCCTATTTAACCTTTTCAGTCCCATGGGTCAACCGTAAATATTTGTAAAAAGTAAAGGAATTGCTTTTTTTTTTTTTGAATATTCAAAGCACTTAAAGGGTTATTGTGCATCAATCAACTTTGGGTTTTTTAAACTGGGTTTAGAAAGAGATCAAAACTTTATTTTTTCTGTTTTTTGTGTGTTAACACCCAGGTTATATCCAGGCTTCTCGGGCCTTAATGATTGCATCGATAGTGTTGGGTTCCTTCGGGCTGGTGGGGGGCCTGATAGGAATCCAGTGTTCGAAAGCTGGAGGGGAGAACTATGTTCTGAAAGGGAGGATTGCAGGAGCCTCTGGGGTCTTCTTTATTCTACAAGGTAACAAAATCAAAGTCAACCTCTTTATGTCAATAAAATTCTGGAAAAGATAATAAATCAGGTTTTATTGCACATATAAACCAGTCCTCTGTAAATTTATTGGATTATCTGGAAACACTTCTTTTTTTTTCATCCAAAGGTTTGTGCACGATGGTTTCGGTGTCCTGGTACGCCTTCAACATCACCCAGAACTTCTTTGACCCCTTCTATCCTGGGACAAAGTGAGATGTTTCCACAGGAGCTGGACGTTTGTGTTTTAACYGAACTGCTGGCTGACTGTAACGTTGCTGTTTGCTCCAGGTATGAAATAGGAGAAGGGCTTTACATCGGCTGGTGCTCCGCCGTGCTCGCCATAGCTGGAGGAGTCTGCCTCACCTGCTCCTGCAAGTTGGCCAAAGAGGAAAAATAGTGAGTTTGTGTTTCTGACTTTATCTGTTYGTGTGTAATAATCWCTTCTGGGAATGGAGCTGAAGGCTRTCTGACAGAACGGAAAGTTACAGTTTGACTAATGACCAACGTGCTGTTGAGTAACCTCAATCAATCAAACCTCAGCTTGTTTGATTCACTACATAAATACAAGTTCATTGTGTCTGACTTTAATGAATGACCAACAACTATAGTGTGAATCTTCTTTGGTTCTKTGAGCTTGAGAATAACTTAAACAAGTTACAAGTGGGGCCTAAAAAGATCACCCACTTAAATATAWCCAAAGGAAAATACCAATTGAGCAATAACCTGACCCTGAGCAGGTGAAATAACAACTTTAAACAGTTTATATAAAGGAGTTTGTGAAAAAAAGACTGTTAGGTAAAGGAGCCAAACAGTGTTGGTTGTGGGGTTTGAAAGTGTCAAAGTGAAGGGGGACCCCTAGTGTTCGGGTAAGAGAAAACACCACTGTGTTATTTTTGAGAAATTAAAAGAACAGCATGTCAGATAG